ATTGGAACTATTAAAAGTACACTGTGGAGTTTTGCTTTAAAGCTGGCAGTTGTGCGTCAAGAAACACAGAAATGCACCTCAAAGGCAGAGATGAAGAAGATTGCCACCAAGCAAACATGAATCTAACAAAACACAATTTAAAATCTATATATAAAAAAATTAGACATCATTGTGTTTTGGTGAGTAACACTGAATGTAAGCATCACTTTTGTTTTTTATAAAAAAAGCTTTAACTGAATATGTTTGGGACATTTAAAGACACCTTGATATATGGGAAATTGTGATTGACAGATTTTTTGGACATTATATTATTCTCATGCTGATTTTAGTCTATTCTGTACTCACAAGAGTGTCTGCCTGTTGTGGAGGAGGGATCGCTCTTCTTGCTCTTACTGAAGTGTCTTCCATTTTTTCCCCAGTTAAAAGACTGAATCCGAATTGCGGGTCAGAGGATAGAGGGTGTTATATGTTGTTCAAATTGTAAAGCCCCTTATGGCAAATTTCTGATTTGTTACATTTGGTTATATAATTAAAATTAACATTTATATTCATATATATTCACAAAAATAATTAATTGACTATGAAGAGAAAATAATTCATTCTAATGAAAATAATAGTTTCAGCCTTTATTCATACATATTCATCTCATGAGAACACTTTGAAGGCTTAAAAGAAATATTAAATAACAAGTTGTATCAATACATTTTATCGTGTTAAAAAGACTGCATCATTAATATTATATGATATATACCACTGTGCCATTATTCTGAAATTCTAATCTTTTTCAAATATTTTCTTTGGAGGATCAGTTTCTAATGTCTTAACTCTCTTTTCTCTCCATTAACCATCCTCTACCACAACTCCTCCAAAAAAATCACAGGAAACTTCCTCATATTCTTTCCTTCCTTTCCTCTCCTCCTCTCCTCTCCTCTCCTCTCCTCATTTCAGTTCAGTGCAGGTGGTCAGTCTCCACCGGGTGCCAGTCTGCTACCTAATGCTGAGTTGATTAGGCTTGCTGAATAGCTCGTTTGGCCGTTACAAAAACCAAGAAGTCACAGTAAATCGTCAAGAGGGCAGTTGATGGTAATGACCGAGCCATCAATGATTGAGTCCATTCATGGCTGAAGTGGCTGGAGAGGGGGTTTTGCCGTCACTCCCTTCAGTCAGCCAGTCACTTTCGCCCGGCACACGGGGCACAGTGTGCATTGCTCTCATTACCGTCCATTGTCTGGCCCCTTTCAAACGGCTGTAAGAAAAGTGGGGGAGAGAGGAAAGGGAGAAAAAAGGTAGAGATTAAATAATGGCCTCGCTGGTGGTATGGATTAGTTGATGGTGAAGTGATAGGAACTGGCCCCTACTTGTGTATAGTGTTCGTATGCGGCAGACCTGCTGCAAGATGGTCAAGATCCAAGATGACGTGTTTTAAAAGAGGGAACAAAGAGCGCTAAAACCACTCAGATGCAGTTACAATGATACAAAAGATACACAGTTTCGCTTGCTGATGGCTGCTTTCTACAAATCACCTCATTTGTTTGGAGCTGATTTTTAAATTTGTACTTATTTAGAATCAAACACAACTGTTGGAAGAATAAAAAAACACCACTAAACAGCATTTTTCTCCCCAGGCATGCCGGCAGCCTCTCTGGTGACCCCAGCTGACGTGATCAAAACCAGGCTACAGGTGGCAGCACGTGCCGGTCAGACCACCTACAGCGGCCTGGTGGACTGTTTCTGGAAGATTCTGAGAGAAGAAGGACCCCGGGCTTTCTGGAAAGGAGCTGGAGGTAACGTTCACCAAGGCCGACGTCTAATCTGCGCCCTGTGTTTTCACCTCAGGCTACATACAGGTCGCCCTGCCTCATTGGCTGGATGTTGTTGGGCTGTGTGCAGCCTGAGAAAAAGAGTGCAGAAACTGAAAAGGGCCTTAAAAAGTGTTTCCATTACCCTTTCAAGTATTTTTGGGGGGATCAATCAATGATAAGGCAGTAAAGGAGTTGTTTTAACATCATTTGAACATACCGGAACATAATTCTTTATATGTGTTTCTATATGTATTTGTTCAATGTGCCATTTCAGTGTGATTTCAGTTATTTTCTCCTGTCCTTTGGATGCAGTACCATGTTTTAAATAACATTTTGTAAACATGGATGAAATCAAAGACTGCCCACATATAAAACTTAGCTAGCCAAGTAAAATTAGCCATGTAACTGGAGAAAGCCTGGGAGCTGCGTGCAGCATTGCTTTTATGTCTTCTGCACAGTTTATTCACATTTTTCACATAGATATGTTATATTAAAGTATGTACATCATTTTATTTATTTTCATTTTCTTTAGTGTATGAAGTTGATCTTGAAGATGCATGTTGTACTTTTTTTTTATGTTTGATGAATAACTGTGTATTGTAATCCAATGTGGGATGGGCCAAATGTTTAGCATGAAAGAAATGAGATCTAGTATTTCTGATTGTTCTCAATAATACAATTGCTATGGAAAGCTTATCATTATTCAATATTCATAAGATTGATATAAATGAACAGAAATCTATCTCCTTAATTAAGGTTTTGTTGTCGTTGAGGAATCTGACTTCATGTCGTCCTCACTTTTGAAACCATACCTTGATCACACACTTGTGTATCCACCCAAATGTAAACCAATGCATTTCTACCACTTCTTGCAGCTCGCGTCTTCAGATCCTCGCCTCAGTTTGGAGTGACCTTGGTGACCTATGAGCTCCTGCAGCGCTGGTTCTATATTGACTTTGGAGGACAGTAAGTCTCGTTCTCTCTTACTAAGCTTCCAACAAGCTTATGAACAGAAATCTATCTCCTTAATTAAGGTTCCAACAAGCTTAGTTGCCTGTTTTACTTTGTGATTACTGTTATTACAAACCTCTTCAGCACCCTTCCTCCTAATCTACCAGTGAGACAACATAAAACACACGGAAGACAGAATACTACAGCTAGCCCGTTACCAAAGACCACCTTCTTCCAGAACAATAGAGTTCATTTCCGCAGACAGTAGGTACTCCTGGTGCGTGTCCTCCCTCCTCTACCAGAGAGGAAGAAATGCCACAAGGCCAGAAATAATTTCTGTGCACATTAGCTGACAGATTGAAGCCCTCACTCAAACCTCTAGATGTGACAATTTTCTCAAACTGGAGAGTTTTGCCGCACAGTGATCAGGGCAGGCAGCACCCATTTGACTTGTACATGTACTTTCCCCACTTCTGGGATTGAAATGAGCTCATTTTCCTCCTCAAAATAGGTCCCTCTCAGGAATAATTCACTCCTTTTTGTAAAGTTAAAAAGGTCCAGTGGGGAAGAGAGGTGGTGAACCTCTCAAAAATGACTGAGCAAAATGCTTCTTTTAATGGACAGCTGCGTTGCACATGCATGTATTCGCCGGATGGCTCATGACTTTTACATGCAGCTCTCTCTCTCTCTCTCTCTCTCTCTCCCAAAGACAGTCAAACAAAATCAGATGTGTTGTGGTTTTTGAGCGAGTCGATGTGTGCTCCTTCGCTGTCCGTGTTGGCAACAAATCACAAAGCTGGATGTAAAATCAACGAGGGATTTGATTTAGTTCCGCTAAAGGGAGCTAAATCAAATCCTTACCCTTTTGATATTCTATTAAGATGTTTATTTCTGTGGTAAACAGTGTTGGATATGATAATATTAATGAACGATAATAAAATAACTCCTGCTCCCGTTCTCCCCCATTTAGCTCAAATAACGTCTTACGCTGCGTTTATGTTGCTTAACACTCCTATTACTCTACCACTCCTCACCTTTTTCTTCGTTTTTTTATTTTTTATTTTACTCTCTCACTGTGCCTCTGGCTTCCTCCTCCGTCTCTCTTTCCCTCTCTCCACAACACAGAAAGCCAGCTGGCTCAGAGCCCACCCCCAAGTCTCGGATCAGCCTGCCGGCGCCCAACCCCGACCACATCGGAGGCTTCAGGTTGGCCGTGGCCACGTTCGCTGGCATCGAGAACAAGTTTGGACTCCATCTCCCACGCTACACGGTGCAGACGGTAGCAACAGCAGCGGCGGCCCCCTCCAATGCAAGCACCCCCTGAGCCTCCAATGGTGGGGAGTAAGTGAGAAGTGAAAGAGAGGGCTAGAATGTTTTCAACCAAGCCATTGTTTTCAGTATTTAAAGTTACTTATTTATTATTTTTTCTTCTTATAATCATATATATGGTAGTTCATATGCAACCATATGGATTAGTGAGCCGATTAGCACAGGTACGCAAAGAAAAGTCTTTGTTGTAGCACTTGTGTCGTATTTATTTTACCTTTGACTGACATTGTATAGAGTTGTATTATAATGTGGTTTTGTTTTTAATACAGCTGGTACAGTATATGCACACAGGCAGCAGAAGGGCTGGCAGTTGTTTACTGCTGAGAACTGCTTGCTTTTTTGGGGGAAATAGTATCAAAAACTACATACAGTTGCAGCTTCTTCCAGTGTCTTCCTTTTGTTTGCTTGATAATCCAAAGCACATTCCTCGTGTGATCATAAATGTGGCACTTCTGTATATACGAGAAATCCAGAGACATATTTTCATATCTATATGGCTATTTTGGTCCTGAGTTGCTCTTTCAAAAGTGTGCTAATTTGATCACATGCATCCACAAGAATATGACCAAAAAAAAGTACTTGAATGTAAAGACACAGTGTAACAATCAGACTGTAAACAATGTTTACTGTTGTAAGATGTTTGGTTTCAGGTCTAAAATGTAAACAGATGTGTAAATATCTGAGAGACAGCTGGCACCGACTGCACTTCTGTGGTGTGTCACGACTGAGTATTTAAATTTGTACAGTACAGAGAATGTAGGAGTTACATATGGTGTGTAATAATCGTGCCTTACTGTACGTATGGCAGCAACATGTGTACTGAGAGTAAAGAGAAACTTATATTAGTAAACTGAACGCATGCTGGAGTTTTCATTTTCATTCCCAGGTGAACGCTGCAAGGAAAACGCAAGACAACAGTTGGTCAGCTACGCTTTAATCGCAAACATAGCAGGTTTAACAGCGAGCACTGCAATACAATATACCTCCTTATAGTTGTTACAGCTCATTAAAGAGAGCTGTTGCTCTCGTTCAGAACGGAAGTGTTCTGAACACTTGATTGAGTTTCTGACACCCTGACACACTAACATAAAGCAGCCACAAAGCCCCACGTGTGAATACATCACCATAACAACTCCCATGTTTATGCATCTGGAATATTTCAGAATTGTGTCGCATGCAGGCATAATACAGAGAAAAATAAGCACAACATAAAGTGAACATGACATTCTGTAAACAATACATGACTAGTCTATGGACCCTGCTTTATTTTTACGGTAGTGCAAAGCGTCGTTACAGTACACATATCTTCGTAAGGCTATAAGACTTCCACTTTGTATATACTGTAGGCTCACAAGTTGCAAGCAACACATCGGCTTAAATCGTTAAACAAATAAATAAGGGCGGACAAATCAGTAGAGGTCAACAGTTTACCTATTAACAGACAGTTCGCATTTACAGGAGAGTAGATGCAAAAATACAGTATCAGCGAGGCGTTGTTTGGACCAGACAGGAACTGTACATAAAGGTGAAGAAACAAAACAAAACTGAGTGTACATGCTACAGTGACACCAATAAAAGCACACCAGGTCTCTGATTTCCCTCCGCTTTGGTTTGGAGTCCTGCTCTATGAAGCCAGCTCCATAGGCCCCTCCTCCTCGCCGTCCGCCCGGTTAGCACGGATCTCCATTAGGGTACGAGCAAAGCGCCCCCAGTCGTCCGTGTGAGTCACCGAAAGCTGTAGGAAACATCAAAGAACACACAGGTACGTGGCATTAAGAGCTGGGTCGACACATCTGCATGGTGGGTACCACATCTGGATGTTTGTTTGGTTACAGAGCAACAAGCATTAGATTTCTCCTGCTGTCGTGACCTGTTACAATACCAAAGAATCCTCTCTGAGGATGCATGAATACATATTTACTCAATATTATTTTATTAATAAAGCTACAAGGGACAACAATGAGAAATCAACAAAAATAAGGCAGTGTTCAGAACAACTTTAGCTCTGTGAAAAAAACGCAGCCCGCCCCCTAATTCATTTCAATGGGGCCACTCTATGTTAGCAGCTCTTTAAGGCTGTACTTAGGCACAATGGTGCTTTAACAGGCTCCAAATTACACTGCTTTAGCAGGTATAATATTCACCAACATGTTAGCATGAAGACGATTGCTAATTAGCACTAAAGAAAAAGTACAGCTGAGGTTGTCACTTTCGAGATCAAAGTTATTACAGTTCATCCTGCGGAGGACGCGAATGTGTTTAACAATGCTGAAGCTCATGGTGACGCTAGAGGAAAAGTCAGGTGAGCACTAAACCCATTAGGATTCATCCTCTGGGGACCATGAATGTCTGCAGAAAATTTCATAACACTCCATCACATAGTGGTTGAGATATTTCAGCCTGGATCAGTGGTCACCCACCGTCAGACATCGATGACTAAAAACTCATATGACTAGCACAGACCGTGGGGGTAATACTGGATGTCAAACTGAACACTGTTTCTCTTTAAGTGTCTCGTTAGAGTCGTGCACTGTGGGAGTCAGAATGAGTGGGACAGAAGCCACGGCCGCCACCCAAGCTGTCTGCAACCGCTTTGCATGGCCAGGCTGTAATTAAACAGGAACCAGGAGGAGGGAGGCAGCCATTTTGAACCCCCTCCCCAACCCCCCACAGAGCTCGGCTGGCCGCAGCAGGGGGCTCTGCCAGAACATCATGTATACGGTTCCTGAGTGACTTCAGCGTTAGCAGCGTTTTAACAGACTAAAAGAAGCTCAAGTGTCAAAGAAACACTGCTGGATTTTATATTGTCAGGCTTTTAAAGTCAGCAGGTCCAAAACATTTTCGTGTCACAGAGCAGCGTGAAGCCGCTGACCCTGATCTGCTAGAGTTTTGTCTCATGGCAGCCATCTAAAAGACTTCTGTTTTATGACACAGAGCAACACCAGTAGAGGACTAATCAAAACAGTCCTAATCCCTGCTGATAAATTACACACAACTAATTTGTACCGAGTAAAATGATACGGAAATAAAAGTATTCGGTATTTTGCTTTCCTGGAGCCGTCTGTTGGGCGCTGTTGGTCTCGAGGAACTGCTGGCATCCTTTTTTTTTTTTTCCACATGCTGTTCCTAGTTTTAGCTATGTGGGGGGAGTTTCTAGTGAAATAAATACCCCCATCACCACCACCACATACACACTCCTCTTTGGAGTCGTAAAACCTTTCAACCCCGCTCACTTTTATTGATGACTCTTCGTTACCATCAACCTAGCGTGGAGGCCACCAGCTCTGCCGAGCCTCTCTCTCTCCCGACTCACCACACAACAAAAAGACGCTAAAATTACCAGCGCGGCTAGGCTAACGCGCCCTCACATGGGGATCCTAACCAGAGCTCTCAAAACATGAGAGAACATACGGGTACAGGCAGGGTGGTTGGCCGCTTTGTGGTGATGGCAAAGTCATGTGGAGGCCATTTTACAGGGACACGGAAGAGGGAGGGGTGGTGGGGGCAGAAGAAAATCAAACACATACATCCATGGCAATGCTGACAGTTGGGTAAACATACAGGGTTAAAAGACCTAAAATGGTCGGTTGTGGTGCATGTGGAGGTTTCGCTGTGAAAAGAATGCACTTACTTCTACTCTTATAGTACATGTCTTTCACCGAAGTCAGTGAAGCAATTATACATGAAACACAACAAGAGTACAGTTTGTATATATTTGTAAAATCATAATTCAGTTACAATTACATACATCATTCCCCTATTTGCAGCAGTGTTTTCCCGCCACATGACAGTTTATTTTGGTAGAATCTGTCGAGAGGGAGGTACTACTGATTTAGAAATGCCAGTTACTCAAATTTCAGGCATTAAAATCTCTCAATCTACTGTAGTACAACTTAATTGAAACAGTGCAATAAATTTTGGTCATTGTAGTTCACTCATGCTTTTGTCACCTAGGGTGTAATTAAATCTTGATTGTCTGAAAACTAAACCCACGAGAACCACCAGCTGCATTCATTGCAGCCCTCAAAGTGAATCCAACAACAATGTACTCAACACGGTTTTTTAAATCAGAGCAGGCTGCCAAAATATAAGCATTATATGAGAAACACCTGAGCACAACACTATTAGAAATGTCACAGGTATTATTCTGTAATGATGAAAACTATACCTTTAAAAAAAGGAGCTCTCACTCTGCCCTTATTTCTGGGTACCAAGAAAGATCTTGCACCTACATTCAGCTTTAATGCACCATAATCTTCTGTACCTCTCCAGTGTCGTAGATCCAAACTCGACCTTCCGAGTCGCCTACAGCCACCTCCTTCCCTCCTGACGACCAGCGGACTCTGTTGAGGGCCGAAGCGCCCTCAATGGTCACACTGGCAGTTGGTACCTGGTGGGCAAAGAAATGACACAAAAACGTATTCAGTATTAATCTAATCCAATCCCACATATAGATCACATTACATTCATGCATTGAGACATGCAAACTGGGATGTGTTATAAAAAACACAAGGAACTGGCGAGACCTATCAGAACTCCAGAGGACCTACAGCACACTGTGCACTTTGGAAAGAAGTTAAAAACTGTGAGCCACTAACAAGGCACATAAACCTTTATAAAAACCCTCTAATACATCCATAAAAACAACAACACCTCCAGAAAGTGCTATTAAAACAGCGATTTTCTCAGTTACAGCTGTTTGTGTCTGAGTTTGACATTTTATATTTTCCTCTTTGATTAATGTATCCTGCTGAATGTTGAATTGTAAGTTACAAAGCAGTTACATCTAAAAAGCACCTGACCAGTTTCCTTCATACTAAATTCCTAATATTTCTAAACAAAACTCCACTGAAATACATTCACACCACATCTCTTGTGTCCTTATTTCTTTTTATTTAATGGCCCTAAGTGCAGTTTAAGCTATTCTTCTTAATGTTTATTGGAAAATGGAGCATTATGCCATTATACTCTAATTTACCAAACAAGTTTACTACATTAAAAGCACGACTTTATCCAAATACTCTGGAGGTTAGATAAACGTAGCTGTCAAATTTACAACTTCTCATTCAAATGTGGACACACACAAGGCTATTTACTGTATAATAACTGCCGCTCGTGTTTGCTGTTGTGGTGTGAGCCAATGCTCTTTTTTTTCCTTCTTTTTTTTAGTAAACAGCAGAGTTCATGTTGCACCTTTAAAAACTTAAGACCATCTGTAGTGTTTCCATAAACTGTTCCTGACATGTGGCAGGCGAGTCTGACACATGTCACCAGTGGAGACAGAGGCCTTGGCATCATGTCGCCTCACACACCGAGCTTCTGCGTATTTAAAGCAGCACTAACCACAGACTGACTGCCATTAGCCTGCTAGCTTCCACCGCTCCGCCCGAGTGGATCTGAACTGAGAGCTTTAAATTGGCTGTGTGTGTGTGTGTGTGTGTGTGTGTGTGTGTGTGTGTGCTGGAAATGAGAACCAGGCGCGCCGCACTGCTCCGTTAGTGTCGTTATGACTGTGTGTTTTTAATATGATGGCAACAATGGAAGTCTGTTGCTATTAGACTGACTGTGTATGAGTGAATGTCTGTGTGTGTTTGTAACATCCGTTGTTTGTGTGTGTGTGTGTGTGTGTGTGTGTGTGTGTGTGTGTGTGTGTGTGTCTGAGCAAATGTTTCTCATAAAGCACATTGTTAGCCGAGTTAGGCCGTCGATAATGAACTCTTCCTCTGTTGGTAAAAAAGGCTGCTGTTGAGGGGAACCATGGGAAACTCGTCATCTGCGCTGCAGAGGGAAGACGCTGGTGATGGGATCAGTGAGGCAGAGTGTCGGGGGTTCAAACACGCGACACGAGAACTGACACGTAACAAAAAAATTCCGGGAGATGAGTTGTGAATTTTACATGTGGACGGTGCGAAGGGGCTGCAAGGAAGTGAGAAGAAGAGCGAAAGAGCATTATGAGAGAGGGAGGAGAGAATCTGTAGTGAAGCAGACTTGTGTTAAGGTTGAAGGCACTGTGGGTGTTGTCTCCATGGAAACCCAGGGGGAAGGAGAATGGAGGATCCTTTTATCCCTGCTTTTACCTGAGTGATCAAAGGTTTGGTACCCACTATTAAAGTTGTAAAGAAGTATGGTTTTCAGACTCATGGCTGAAGATATCTTTTCCCTATAATGCAACCTTTTCTCCCTTAAAGGAACAGTTCAACATTTTGGTAAATACACTTATTCACTTTCTTGCAGAGTTACATGAGAAGTTTGGTACAGTTCTCATGTTTGTCTGTTTGATATGAAGCTACAGCCAGGAGACAGGTTAGCTTAGCTTTGTATAACGATTGGATACAGCTAGCGTGGTTTTGTCTGAAGGTAAAAAATATGTCTACCAAAACCTCTGAAGCTCACCAAATAACACGTTCTATCTCATTAATCATTCATTTAATTTGTGGGAGCTTTAGATGTGCTGATAGGCGGATTTTGTCAGGCTGTTTCCTGCTGCTTTCAGTTTTTATTCTAAGCTAAGCTAACAGGCTGCTGACTAGCTACATATTAACCGTACACACAGTGAGACACTGAGTGCTGTGAATCTTCTTATCCAGTCTAATCTTAATCTAATAATCTCATTTTATCTAAGAAAGTTAATTATCTTATTTCCCAAAATATCACTACTATCGCTTTAATTAATAAGACACTGCAAATGTACATGATTTGTAGAATAAAATCACCATAAGATAATTCATTTAAAATTTCTAATTAATGTTATTTCATTCTATACATTTATTATATTTTATTCAAAATAAGATATTGTATATAATTAAACTTTCTTTCCTCAAACTGACCTCAAATGTTCTCTTCTGAAAATAAATTCTGCCCCACAGCACTGAGAAACAACCCCTGGCCTGAACTTTCTCCTTTTATTATTTTCATCTCCAGCATGGGACTGCGGACTGAGGGCTGGGGCTCTCTGCTCGTGGTCTCCTGCACATCTGTGCGTTTCACTGATGGGCCAGAGTGTGGGAGGCAGATGAGAGGAGGTGGCGGAGTCCTGAGGTTGCCTGAACGTTGGACAGAGGTTGCAGGAATGTTAGCGGGACGTCTGGGTGGGAGCCGGGATGAGGAGATGTCACTAAGTCTGATTTAAAGTGAGGGCTGTGGGAACACGCCCACGGGGGAATCTTGAATTTGTGTGTGTGTGTGTGTGTATGTGTGTGTAAGAAGGGATGTGGAGGGGTTGGTGGTGCTGGGGGGGTTGATGGGAGGGAAAAGGCTTGGGTGTTTGGTTGTGTGGTTCGGGCTGAGGCCCAGCAACAGGCCCTGAGGACACCAAACACGCACGCACATCAACACACAAAGACATGACACAGAAAACACACCCATAATGACCCATATTCACACACAAACTGCACACACACACACACACACACACACACACACACACACACACACACACACACACACACCTCAGTGTCATTGTTGAGGTTCCACAGGTCTAAGCGGCCCATGCCATCCACGGCGGCAAAGATTGCTGGGTGTACGGGCGACCACATGACGTCATACACATAGTCGGCGTTGTCCTCAAACGAGTACATAGGCTTGTTGTGCTGAAAGAGAGGAAAAGAGGATTTCTATGCGAGCGTGTGTGACTGAGATGGTGTGAAAAAGCACTGCGTTAGGGATTACAGTAGATGACACACTAGAGATAGAAAGAAAAGAGAGACAGAGAGCGAGAAGGAATGGAGAGAGGGAGTGAGCGAGCTTCAGACAGAGTGGCGCTGCCTCAGCCTTGGGGCCTGTCTGGGTGCAGAGCCTAATTAAAAAGCCTTGCACATTCACACAGCACCATAAAACCGCTGGGAGAGATGAAAGGGAGGGCCCCTGCACAAGGTGTACTGTAACCTCAACACAACAGCTGTCTAAGAGAGAGAGAGAGAGAGAGAGAGATGGGAGATGGAAATGGGAGGAAAAGGAGGGGTGGACAATGAGAGGAAGAGGCACTAGAAATAGGATGTGTGTGAATGTGTGTGTGTGTGAGAATGTGTGTGTAAAGCCCGACTGACACTGGACCTTTTTTTTATAAATAAACTTGTCAGTGCTCTCTGGTGGACTATCTAATGATGACACTGTTTCTAAATTGCCTAAAACATATATTTGATATTCTTTTAGCAGTTTCTTCTTAATTATTAGCCAAATTACACAATAAATACCCATGTATCACACATATCTGATATATCTGTGATAATAGAATATTTTGTACCATAGAATCGAATGTGAGTTAAAGAAAAGTTACATTTGTGAAGTTATAAAGAGCAAATGTCCTAAAAAAATCCTTGAAAGTAGGTTAAAATATTCAAATTATTCACTCTTTAGCCGTTTTAGGTTAAGGTCAGAGGTTAGGGAACAGGTAGTCAGTAAAGGTTTTTGGAAGTAGACTAAAATTAGACATCAGTGCTTTTGCACCCACACCCTCTAACCTTATTGCCTATTAATGCTGGAGGCTACTGCTTGTGCTGCAATTAAAGACAAAGGATGAATTAAATACGTGTGGGAATATGGCTTAATACGTGTGTGTGTGTGTGTGTGTGTGTGTGTGTGTGTGTGTGTGTGTGTGTGTGTGTGTGTGTGTGTGTGTGTGTGTGTGTGTGTGTGTGTGTGTGTGTGTGTGTGTGTGTGTGTGTGTGTGTATGTGTGTATCCCCTCTGAGAGCGGCTGTTAGGATTCCAAAGGCTTACAAACTGCATTCCTGACAGGTAGAGTGGGAGGGGTAGAAGAGAGGAGACAGGCTGGCTGGAAGAGCAAATGAAAGAATGTAGTCCCCCCCCTCTGTCTCTCCTCCTCCTCCTCCTCCTCTCATTCTTTCTCTTTTTCTCCATCACCTTTACTCTCTCACTCCACAGTCGTTCTGAAAGGCTGTGAGACCTGCAGACAGATAGCAGTGCGCACACACACACACAAAAGAAAACACACAAACACAAACAAACAGAGCCGAGCCAATTTCAAGCCTCGATTGAACCTGTTTTCCAGCCGGCGGGGTGACAGCCGAGGTCATTTTACTCCATCTCACAGTTTCAGCATTCGATCAGCTGAGCGATTCCTGTTTATGTTTTCTCTCCCTCTCTTATCCTCTCCTTGTTTTAGTCCACATTACTTTGTAACTACACTCTTTTGCTCATGCTCTAGCTCTTGACTATTACCAAACAGTATTTAAAATGTCATTTTATTGCGATAATCTGCCCTGCTGAATAATGCCTCTTGCTGCAAATTCAAACTATCTTTCTAAAAAATGTCCTAGATGTATTTGGCCATACACTTCAAGTAAATGAGATGAATGAAGGCACCCTTGTATCTACCGACTATTCGAAATGTAAACTACTATTTTACTGTAGTCTGTCCGTAATCTACCTATCTTAAATAAGGTGATTTGGAGCAACAAGTCTTAAAACTAATCTTAAAATGAAGCTTAATCCTTGTGGCGCCGCATGTGAAGCAACTGCTTGTCATTATCGTTCCTGTACTTAGAAGCTGGGGAGCTTCTATCATGTTTGAACTGGAAAAAGTATCGCTGAAACACTGGATACTGACAGTTAACATCAGGGTGTGATGCCAATTTATTGACATAAAGCGGTTTGTAAAATAAATGGATGGATGCAAGTTAAGTCGAGCGTTTAATGCTTCAGAGGTTGATGCTAAAATACTCCCCACCCTGCGTCTTCTCACCTTGGCATCCGTGCTAATAAAATCCCACTGAAATTATACAACCTAGAAGAAACTTTTCCAGTACTACAATCGTTCACACTTTTGCATTTGCCGTCTCAAAATCCACGCTGTAACAGAGTCTCACACAAAACCCTCTCATCACTCGGACTCTCAGAAGGGATCCAGACCATCTCGGCTCCGCAGCCGTCGTATAATTTCACTGGTTCCATCCTGGCTGCATCTGCATCTCAAACATTCCACTAGCTTGATAGCGTCACGCCAGATTTAATCACCACACACTGAGGGGACTGGGATGTTGTCCTCAAATTAGAAACTGTTATAAAATATTTCACAAATGGCACTAAAAGACAAAACCACCGACTGAAGATCAAGATCTCATTTTCAGTACACAGACACTCGTTAACAATCACCTGAACCGACAGTGCTGTAAGCCTTTAATTAACTTCTTAAGCGAGCCAAAGTGGAATGATTATGCTCCATCCAATCACTTAGTAGATGCTGGTTTTGGGGTCAAGAGAGCAAGAACGGTTCAAGTTATGCACAATCATAAACCCACTCCCAGCTGTCGCGACGTCTTCGCACTCTGGCCGACTCTAAATGTTTTCACTAACCACAATATTTGCACCACTGAGTGTGAAAACATCGACCGACTTCTGTGCGAAAGCCTTTTAGAACTGCGAGGGGGCAAACGTGTGTGAATGCAAAGAGAAATTGCTGCGAATATATATATATATGTGCGCGTGTGTTTGTGTTACAACAGTTGGGTTGAAGGCAAACCTCGGGGGGATTTTAGGTAAGCAAAGGCAGCTTGTTTAAAGTGCACGTGAGGCATGTGTGTTGCGTCTATATTTGCACAAACGCACACACACACTCAGGTATTTTTTGCCTCTCCACACACAAATATGGGTTATGTGGGATAAGAGACAGACACACATTCCTGCGGTGCCCCTCAAAGGAAAGGGAATTCCCAAATCCTGAAAAATAACACACTCTTCTGATGAAAATCCGCAGAAATGTTTTAATATGTGTCACGGGACCCTTCGAAGAAGACTTATGGACTGCCTGCATGCAAACATGAGCTAAAATTCATCAGAGTGCTTTACTGCCTGTCCCAGCCAAGTATGAAAGCTGTAACTGGATCTTGCATAAAGCTGAAGGTATTATGCAATATGCATTATGTATTTTCCTCATATTGAAAAGGTCTCTCTTTGATTTCTGGCTGTTTGCTGTTTGACGCCCTGCTCATGTTGATCCCTCTGTCCTTTAGCATTAGCATCACATCCATGATTAACAATGACATTTTTTCGTCTTTACAATGCCTCCTGGTCCTTTTTCCCCTCACTCGCCCCTGCTGACTATCCATGTTCCTCTCTCTCACTATTTTCTTTCCTTCCTCTTGGCTGTGTTCAGGCTGCTGATGCTTCTTGTTATCACATGACCTTTCATCCTTTACACCTCAAACTGATTTCTGTTTTAATTACCAAACTTCTCCAATCTACCGTTTTTGTTCTTTATTCTCACAAATCCGTCCTCATTTCTCCTCCACTCAGTTAGCATGAATTTGATAATTACAAACCGTCAATCATCTCATCCTATAATCCTGTCTTCATCACTGAATTTATTTTCTTGTGCAGTGTCTCAAATGCACCTGAGCATACCCCTCTGTGTATCACTACCTCAGAGAGTGTCTTGAATGTATTAGCTAACTTTCCTATTCTCCAGCACTCACTTTGACAGAAACGGTGACAGTTTGCTTTTTGCTGCCGCTGAAATGGAATTCATCACATGGGTTTGAAAGGGGAACTAATGCCCTGAGTGGTAGAGGTCACTCAAAAAACCAGAGAAAGGAGGAGCGGCCGCCTCTAGAGTGTGTCTGAGGTAGATTCACGGAGTGCACCTCCGTGAATCACCTCACTAACACTCACCCGCATGCACAGAGTTTAAGATCTGACGAAGACAGATTTAACAGTTACAAGGTTAAAACAGTCTCACAGTGAAAGATGTCTGAATGAACTCTGTGTGCAATTTTTTGAACAAGACTAAATAGCGATTAGTAAACAAAATGAACGTGGTTGTAGTTTCAAGTTTTATACTAGAACTCATGGTTTAAAATGAAAGTTGAAGAAAATGATCAACTTTTACTGTGAAGGCAGAATCATCTGCATCACAGGTCTTCTGATACTGTAAAGACATCTGGCCTACTTTTGTAGTATTGGCTGTACACCTGTTCTGTACCATCTATAAAACTAAAGCGTTTTACTAGTAGATCTTACTAGGGGGCAGCGCACAGCTTGGGAGGAAACTGCCTGACAGGCTACATTCAGGTCGAAATAATCAGGGTTTCAAAACAATTTGTGGAGCAATGTGCAGCTTATCAAAAATCCTAATTGTGTCACTCTGCTATTGAATACTTTCACTGCACACCCACAGAGTATCCATACACCCAGTGCCGGAACTCAACTTATTCTCTCTCTCTCACACACACACACACACACACACACACACACACACACACACACACACACACACACACACACACACACACACACACACACACACACACACACACACAAGTACTAAGAGAAAGCCTGATTTTACAAGAAGTTGCTCACAAGTTGCCCCCCCCCCCACTAACTGGTTCATTCTCTCTCTCTCACACACACACACACACACACACACTTTCTCTCTCTCTACAACCTCTCCAGTCCACAATCAACCCCCCACACATCCTCCTTCTCCTCCTCTCTTGCACACTCACACACACACCATACCTTGGTGCTCCAGAGTTTGACGGTCCAGTCGAAGGAGGATGTGATGAAGAGGTGGGAAAAGTCGACAGTGCCCACTGCGCTGTGGCAGCTGATGCCCGTCACAGGCCCCTGGTGGCCCTCAAACATCTCACAGATACCTGCCTTACTGAGCGGGGGGGGCGACACACAGGTGGTTCAACGCTGCAGTGTTTCAGTGGGGCTTCATTTGTTTAAATGTAAAGCAGTGAAGTGGTTTGCGGCTTACTGAGGACGATCATGCTCAAAATAAATTTGCAGCGCAGTAAGGGAGCTTTGATTAAAAGTGAAGCAATTAACTCCTTAAATTAAGAGAAAATAATCCATTTAATTTTTCTAAAACAATTATAATTCTACTGGTAATTCTAAGTAGTTTTACTTGTTTCATACATTTTCCAAGCAACAAGGCAAAAACACTTGAATGTGCCTAATTTAGAAAAACAATTTACATTATCCAAGCAAAAAAATGTGAACTGTATTGATCCAGTAAAGGTTTGTTTGGGATGTTTTGTTCGTGTGTGTGTGTGTCCACAAACCTGCCATGTCTGGATGCAGTGTAAACAGTGCCCTCCTCACTCCCGACCACATAATTGTTAACGTCTCCAGTGGGAAAAGCCATGCCTGTCACTGCTACAGGTTTGGATTTATTGTACACCAGTTCCATGGTCTCCTACATACACACACACACATACATTACAACAGTTAATACATGTGGAATCCCAGATGCATGAACACTAACACACCATTTTAACAAACTATTTAATCTATTGAGTAACAAAATGCTCTTTGTCCTTAAACGTTATATATTGGATAGTGATGCACGACCCAGTTTTTTTTTTCTGTTACAATCTGATTCTGATACCTGAATATGGATATCTGTTGCAAACCGATACTGATACAGCTTAATTAAATTGGTAGTACTGAACGATGCAGCACAACTTCCACCCCTCAGGATGCTGTACACTTTACGCTGCTGTCTTGCTCTTCTGTGTTACGAGACTAAAAGATTTATTTCAACCAAACCAGATTTGGTAATTGTTGGAACAGAGGAAAGACCAACAAAGATGGTTTCAGTGAGTTTTATTTCATTTTTGTCCACTTTGAATGAAGTTATGATGACATGCGAGGTAGCAGTAGCGATTGATAGCAATATTACGGCTGTTTCTCGTTAAACAAAAGGTCTAACTGTCCCCAAGGATTAGCTATGTTACATGGCAGCCACTGTAGCCAATTTTGCAGTTATTTTCTCATTTAGGTCAGAGAATTAAGGGTGTATTTTGACCAAACCAGAGTTGGTGATTGTTGGAAGGAAAGACTAACAAAGACAGTTTTGGTGAGTTTTTTTTTGTTTCTTTCCTGTTTGAAGTGCATTTTATGATTCTCTGCTAGGTAAAATGACTGATTTTGTCAATGGAGCCCGGTCTGAGAGGCTGGTGCTCTACAACAAAATCTAGTGGTGTGTGAATTTCATATATATATAACATTTAATGACTTTTTGAGTGGTCAACAGGTTGTGTCAGCAGCGTTCTAGGTGACGTGTGTGCTATGTACCTGTGGCTGGGAGAGCATGTCCAGACTCCAGGAGCACATCCTGCCGTCTGTAGACACAGTAATCAGGTTGTTGGCGTTCTGGGTGCCGACCACGTTCACACAGTACACTGGGTGCTACACACACACACACACACACACACAAAGAGATAAAAGATACACAGGGATCCAAAATGGATGAGATGGGTGGAGATACACACTTTCACAATACAACAGATAGTTTTCATAATCTCATAACCAAATGTAATATGATTACAACAATCCCCACTGAAATGCTGTATTCAGTCTTTACACATTTGGCAGCTTGGAGAATAAATATTTGGATATTTCCAAACTAGTAGGCTATCAGGGATAACAAATATTTCAATAATAAAATTTGATTTTAAACACAGCCCTGAAATGATTATGTAATTTTACCTTAAACAAATGAAACCATTAGATACCGTGTGGACCAACAGATGCAGCCGGCTCACAGACAGCTCACATGCCAGTGTCTAGCTGTTCCTTACATTTAAGACATGCGCTGCTGTGCAAATCCACAGCGGTGTGTGAAAGCATTATGTCATTACTGGGCAGTAATTGATTTGTGTACCGGACAGCACAAAGAAGCCATTCAGCAATCAGCACCATGCTAGCTGGCTGGATTCACTGAGTGGAGAGGATGAGAGCGGCGGCCTTGTTATTGGGGTTTAAACCTACAGCACGGATGGCATGTAGCTGTGTGTGTGTGTGTGTGTGTGTGTGTGTGTGTGTGTGTGTGTGTGTGTGTGTGTGTGTGTGTGTGTGTGTGTGTGTGTGTGTGTGTGTGTGTGTGTACATGCCTTCTGTAGCGGCCCCGGGTCTTGAGATATTTGTAGTGTATATTGGTCAGTAATTTGTCGAGGGTCAGTGAGTTCAGTAATCAATCTCAAAGCAGCAGGGTCATGTGATCATGTGACTGAAACAGCATGCTGTGATATAATTTAATATCTATACATCAGGGTGTTTATATGACTTTTCCGGTGCAATGTTCCTACTGACAATTTCTTTAATAATTGTTTTATTTAATTAGTCAAAGCACAACAGGGAGCTTATTTATTTAGGTCAGCGCATATCTCTCCAGGGCTGCCACTAACAATTGTTTTCAATATTAATTAAACTTCAAAAAATCAATTAATCATTCAGTATATAAAATGTCAGAAAATAGTGAAAAATGTCCATTACAGTTTACACAGCTTATAAAAAAAAATAAAACCAAGGCACAGATTTGTTCTTTAAGTTAATTTTGTATGTTTTGTAAATTTGTAAATGTGTCAAACGTAAAAAATATCAGCAACAGTCCCTGCTCTGGACTTTAACAATGTGATAGTGATAATGGAGCCAGCCTTACAGTGTGTGCAGCAGCAGACAGAGGAGTCCTTTGGACGGGGGTCCGACGGTGACTCCGGTTGTCCCACAGGACGATCTGTCCTGAGTAAGTCCCCCCCACCACCAGGTTGGGATGAAACCTGGCAAAGCCCACAGATACTACTGGAGACTGAGGAAAGAAAGACAGAGAAGGGGAGAGGATTGAGATAGTGGAATCATAATGCGTATTATTCTGGTGTCAGGATATTTTATGGGAACATTTCTGAAAAAGATATTATCATGAACCGACAGAACAAGGAACACGGTCAGAATTGAAATGCTCTGGTTGGATGAAGTGAGGAGATAAAACAGCAGACAATGAGAAAAGAGAAAAAACAAAGAAAGATATGAAGCGAAAACGGTAACGCTAGACAGAGCGTGAGTGAGAACAAGTGATCAAGGCGGCGTGATGGGTGGCAGACGCGGGCAGATAGACGGAGAGGGAGATGATGAGTTTGGCTATGGTGAGGGTCCGCTGAGGAGAGGAGAGAGGGGTGACGCTGGGGCGGAGACCAGACAAAGAGGGGAATTATAGTCCTCTTTCCCCCAGCCGTTTCACATTACAGCATCAAAACCCCAGCAGCCACTGGAGCGCTCACTGTAGCCTCCATCATGACAAGCGCACCCTTGAACTCCCTCCCTCACCAGTGCCGTGTTTATTGAGTTTTGGTTCCTCTTCAGTGCTCGTCCCATATGGGCTTCTGCGTGCAGCAGCTAGCCTCCCCTGACCCAGAGCCAATGAAGCATCTGTGCCGTGGAGTTATGAGAAAATGTTTCAGCATCGTAGTGCTGCAGGAGGGTAAGTGGTGTTACGCACTGACAAATTCATCCCTCCATCCATCCATCTAGTAAAGCAGCATAATCATGCTGAGAGGAACAATAATTTACAGGCAGGACGGGGCCAAGAGAGAATTAAACAAGAAGCTCACAGACACACAGCCCAATTAAAAACAGTGAAACTATAAAAACATGCAGGATGCGTTTCGCAAAAGCACTGTTGCCTAATACGGTCGTAGATTTTGTCACTGAGGCGTCGTTGACAGTTTTAGTGTTCCTGAAAACAGTACGTCAGAGGTTTTGTTGTTGGAACAACAGCTCTGAGACGCTGTTTGGAGGCAAAGCTTGTCATTAATCAGTGTATTAACAAGGCAATCATTGGAAGATTTATGTGAATATATTTACAGCAGTAATAGTATTAACCAAATGTAAACGGTTGGTGATGATACTACTGCATTGAATTGGTGTCTTAATAGACAGTAAGATGACAATGAATATACTTCTAATAATTCAAATTCCAAATGGATCATGATCACTCTAGCTGTGCTAAGAAACAATTATGGCTTGCATGAATACCTTCATAGGAATGACCTCTCTAAAAAAGAATATTGGTAAACAGGATGCCACTAAATGTCTAAATGTGGAAAGACAAGTTAATTTTAAAACATAGACAGTTAAATCATGCAAATGCTTTAGAGAAAAGGCAATAATGTGCCAATATGCAATACGATCATTGCAGTTTTGGGGAGAAAAACCTACCCTACCTACTAGATAGGCAGGGAATCTAACTATGGGAGTTCATGCTTCAGAAAAGCACACCCAGGTTGCAAGTAACCCAAAATAGACAATGGCTACAAATCCAGCCCAATTGGTGTTCAACACCTGAGAGAAAGATGGGCGACATTAGTTTAAAGTGAGAATATGTAACTTTTGCTTAACAGCGGTCACTCACTGTGACCACAAGTACCAATTATGGGATAATGGCTAATGCTAAATCATAACGTAAAAGTAGCACAAGTACAGAATAGTCATAAAATCAGTAATGTCACTTACACAGCAATATATTTTAGGATTCTAGATAAAGTTTGCTCACATTAGCTAACATTAGCCACCATAATCTACTCATACCAGACCAAGTAAGGCTGTAGTAGCAAAACCCCAAACACTATTGAATTGAACATGGGTGAGTGACTTTCATTTGTAAGATTATGTGATTGTCGTTTCTAATTTCAGTGTTTTTAGTATTGCCTTAATACCATAAAGGTCAAACCACAGACACCTGACTGCTGCATTGAATTATACATGTGGAATATTTCAGCCTTGACTTTTCTTTCTTATGAATCTAAATGTATTTCGTGTGATTTGTTCTTGCTTACACAAGCTCAATAAGAAGCCTGACACAACCTGACACAAGCTAAAAGTTTTCAATAGAATGAAATTTATCTTGTTTTTCATATCTCTCCCTTGCGTTCCCCCTCTCTCTCTGTCCCCGCCACCACACCATGTGTGAAGCAGCCAACTTAAAACCCCAGTTCATTTTGAAAGGAGACTGGAAAACAAACCAGAAGGAAAGAAAACACAGCACACTCTTTCTCTCTCTTTTTTGTTTCTTCTGAGGAGTCACGGCGTCCAGACGAATGGCTCGAGAGTCGCTTCAGATGTCAGGACTCAAAATAAACTGAACTTTGGTGGTAAAAATAAAGTCGCTCGTCAGCCAGCAAAGAGGCAGTGTCCTTTTTTTTAATCTACACAGTCAGATAAAATGGGATCAGGAATTTAGGTTTATTAGCACGTATTAGAACACAAGATTTGATTGACATAGGCTATTGTTTCCATTAAAATATGTAATACTTTTTATGTTTTATTCCGTATGTAATATGTAAAGTATTGAAAGGTTTTTAACAGTAAAAGTACTTCAGGTCAGGACAACAGCACTCATGTAGTACTCAAATGCAGAGTCTGCCTTCAACTTGATCATTTTTTAATATCCTCGAGGTTTGAGATGATCTTTACACTCTGTGGTTGTCTGACAGGCTGCTGTCTGAGGTCTGATCCCCATCCCTTCAGACTCCATCAGTGGGCCAATGAACCCAAGTCCTGCCCTCATTTTTGTACACAAACACACACATTCACATAGTTCCACCACCGCAACCTTTTATCAGTCTTCAAAGAGTAGAGAAAGTCTAAATGATATTAAGCCTCTGGAAGAGACTGGGGAGCAGAGTGAAAGAAGTCTAAACAATATCTAACAGCTATAAAAGCTTTTGTAAAAAGAATAGTTTGATATTTTGGGAAATTTGCTTTCTTGGCAAGAGTCAGACAGGAAGGTCGCCACCACTCTCACATGTGTGTATTAAATAAAAGGCTACTGGATACCAGGCTACAGCTCAGCTCAGCATACAGATGGGAGAAACAGCTAACCTGGCTCCTTCTTTTAGGTAACCTCTAAAACACGTTACATCCTGTTTGTTAGAATAACAGCTTTAAAGCCAGGATAGATGTTTCTACTTGTTCCCAGTCTTCATGCTAAGCTACACTGAGCGATTGTAGCTTCATATTCATCCTAGAGATATGAGAGTGGTATCGATTTTCTCATCAAACTCTGCAAAAAAAGAAAATCAACGCATTTCCCAAAATTTCAAACTACTCCTTTAACTGCTTTAATGCAGTCGCTTACTTGCTTGATGCTTATCTTTATGCCTAAAGAGACAGAAAGCATGAGACTCCTATAAAAGTGTCATTTCTCATCTGAATTTTAAATATCTTTATGAAATTGGAACAATCTGGAGTACAACATAGACAACTTACTACCTCAAATATATTAATACTGTTCACTACTTCATCTTTGATCTCTCCAGTAAAAACGATGTGACCCTACTTTTACTATTAACACCATCAGAAATCTAAAATAAACACGCAAATCCACAAGCAAATAGAAAACATCCCTGCTCTCTGCTCTTTCTTGTCATTCTTCCACAAGTTATCATCCTAAGAAAACATCTCTACCCCACATGAGTAATGACAAAGAGAAGCCAAATCAAATCAAGAGCCCTCTCTATTTGCTCCATATGTTAGTTTAACTCCTAAGCCCTATCAGTGTCCCCATCTTAAGAGGAAAAATCCTGACTAAACTCTGAATCCCCTCTTTGAGAAACCACAGGTTATGCCATCATTCCCCTCATGTACTGTCAGGCTTAGTGAAAGAGCTACTGAAAATTAGCCCGACTTTGTCTTGATAGTGCACTTTGAGGCGCCCTGCCAGCAGCGACTTGGACTTAACATTAAAGACATTCTCCCTAAATGCTTCTAATCAAATGTCACATCAGCACATATGTTTTAGAGTTATATGCCTTTTAAATGTACTGTATGTCATTTGGTGCTGAAATAAGATCAATTTGTCCCACGCTATAAGGAAGTTTATGATTTAAGCTCAAGGGGAATTGCTTGACACTCTAAAGCGGATTCCCAATTTGGATGTCATGTAGGAAATTAATGACTGAGTTTAGAGTTGAATTATGGAGAGCTTGATTATGTTTCAGCAGGATTTCTGTAGTCTTTCTGTCTACTTTTTATTCATTCATGAGCCTTTAATGACTCAAATACTTGAGTGAGGTAAAATATTTTATGTCTATGTGTAAAGCTTAAGTTCTGAATTAAAGGAAAAGTTTTTTGGGAAATACATGTATTGATTTCACCCTAATGTCTGGACAGTAAATATAAAGGTACTTCCAGCAGCCGATTAACTTACCTCAGCACTAAGACTGTAAACGGGGGGAAACAGGTAGCCTGGGCTATTTCTTGGCCAATAGCAGTTGCCAGGCAACCAGCATAGGCTCCTCCTCCCACCCGTAAAGACGAACTGATGTTTTTACACCTTGACTTTTGTATGTATTAAACAAGTGAGATATCAAGTGATAATTAGAGGTGTTAGGCTAGTTGTTTCCCCCTGTGTCCAATCTTTATGCTACGCTAAGTTAGTCCGTCGCTTTGCAGACTCATCTAGTACACATTTCTTATAAATAAGCACATTTCTCCAAAATGTTGAACTTTTCCTTTAAATCTAATATAGCCACACTCCTCCCATCCCCTGCAGCTCCTCTTCAATCCAGACTCATAAGCTTGGACATACCAGTCATACGAACACCACATCTGTCTAAATAACACCTCAACAACTCTCGGGACTGCAATACTCCCGCTATGATTGCATCTCCATATCAGGGCTGACTGGATACCGAGCCTGACATTTCATTTCCAAACGCAGAGTGGCTCTGTGGATGGTTCTCATCTTGCATGCAGTGCGGGTCAGACACCTGCCAAGTCATCTCCTGCCAGCCCAGACGGAGAGGATGTGGG